CTTCTCCCACACCCTCATCATCATTAGCAAGCCCAGATAAAAACACACCTCAATTAGTCCACCTCTGCTGGGGGAGCCACATCAAGTAAAGCAGACGCTTCCAACTGACCCATGCCATAACTTCACTTACAGCAGCTCACGCTATGTCCAGACTGAGGGCCAGAGATTACGTTATGGAACAATCACACATTGCTTATAGGTGTCAGCATTCGAAGGGAGCCTTTAATTAAATTAAATCCCTAAATTGTCAGTCTGTGTCATGCAGTAAAAAAAAATATACGAAACACCCTCAGGACAGTACATACAACGCACAATCAGCATGTTATACTGTAGATATGCAGTCAGCAAGCCTCTAAAGGACTCTTTAGAGCAAGCCTCTTGCTACTAGAGTTTTACTTTTACATGGCTTTAAATACATAATATGCACACCAAAGTTACATTAGATAATAGATACATTAATGAATATTTGCCATAACATCTACGGTACATTATATTAGGGCTGCAACTGACAGTTATTTTCATTATTGATTAACCAAAAGAAATTATTATTAAAAAACAGTGAAATAACTTCCCAGAGCTCTAGGTGACCTCTGCCTCGTTTTGTCTGAACAAAAGTCCAAAACCTGAAAGTTTATTATCATATATGACAAAGAAGAGCAGCAAATATTTCAATTTGAGAAGCTGGAAGGTAGCATTTTCGTACAAGTTTTGCTTAATAAACGACAACAAAATGATTAATCACTTATCAAAAGTTGCAGATTATTTTTCTGTTGATCGACAAATTGTTTCTGCTCTACATTATATAGTTTAATTGGGATTTCTTGTCTACATCTCCTGAGCAGCAACCAGCGTGTTAATTCAGAACTCCCTCCTTTGCTTTAATCTAAGTACTAGTGGTCTATACCACCTATAAACCTCTCACACGCAGCAATCCACTCACGATTAATGAAGTGCTTACTTAACCAATTTAAACCCTTAATTCCTATTAATTCAACATAATAGCCACCCTCTCTGCCAGAATTAACAACACCCTAGCAGAAACTTACAAGTCTCTGCAGGCCAGAAAGAGTCAAGCCAGCAAATTCCATATTCTTTGATAAATATGTAACAGTATGTATATCACTGTTAAAATGCATAACCCTCGTGTAAGACCCCTATCAAGTCTGCTTTACACCTGTATTACATTTCTCCCTCAATCAGCAGCTTTTCTGAGACACCGGCCTCCCACGAGGAGCAGAAACCATTACAAGGGACTGCAGCTCATTTGCAGAAAGATTGGAGATCACGCTGCATCAAAAAGTATGTGAAGCATTTCTGAGAACAAAATTGATTTATTCCATTTCTATGTTTGTATGCAGCATCAGTATCAGTGTATTTAATGTAAATCCCCAGTCTAGCATTGAGTCGCTGTGCGGGTTGCTGCTTATTGTGCAAGTAAGAAGCAGGGCAATCAAATGGCACAAGGGGCTAGTTCTGGTGCAAAATGAAGGTACATGCAGTATTTTGTATACTGATATTTTGCCTCGAACAGAATGATAAAACATATATGCAATGTAACAAATTATATCAATCAAACAAAACAATACATTATGCCCTTTTTCAGATCCACTGATGCCGCTTGTTTAAGCTACAAAGACATTAGGCTGTTCGTTGGTGAAATAAAAAGGCATAAGCAAATAAATAAATATTTCTGAATATTTCAATTTTGACTTAGGAAAAACAGATCAAGCAGAGCCTGTGGCTAGAGGAGCCTGACTGCATGCTGGTGGGGGGTAAAAGACAGCCTGGGGGGTGTGGAGGGCGTCTGTTTTTTAATGAGCTGAAACTTTAAATACTGCATAATATATAATAAAAATGGATAGTTCATTTAACTCTCCCGATAAGTCGTGGAAAAACTATTAAAATCCATTACTCTCTTAATGTCAACAGTGTAAGCATTAAGTATGAATGAAGTGAACATGATACCACATCATCGACAAGAAAAACAAAACAATAATCAACTTCAACAAAAAGAAGAACAGGATTTAGGCATAAAGTTAAGTGCATAAGCTTAAGGGCATCAGCTAAACACAGTAAAAGCAATGACAATGATATATCAAACTATATAAATTTGGATCCACTCAAAGAATAGAACAATTATCATGTTTATCAAAGATTAGAATATGAGGAACCTTAATCAAATTGTCCAGAATTTGTATTTACTGCTACTTTGTCCTAATGTCAGCTGAGAGTGGTCTTGAACCAGAAAAGCCAATAAGATGACTGACAGACATTTCAGCCACCCACTGACAGTAGCTTTGGCAACACTGATTGGCACAGCAGGCATAGAGTTTCGATACTCCCCCTTCCCCCTTCGCGCGCACGCACGCACACACACACACACACACACACACACACACAGACACAGACACACACATATATACAGCGTGTCATAAAGATAAAGAACGAAGGGGGGATGTAAAGAAAAGAATTATGGTGCTCCTTGTCATCCCTTGGGTGAAGAAATACACCATAATAGATTTTTAATGGCTTCAGTACAATATACCCCCTCAAAAAGAAAAAGAAAACATAGCGATTCATGTGTCAACGACCAGAGGTCAGCAATTATTAACTACTGAAAAAAAAAAAATCTTTTAACATTAACAAAACAAACTTTTTGATATGTCTCACTCTGCTTAAGTATTGCTCTTCCAAAGCTGATCAAAGTATGCATATGTCTGCAGCTGGAGATGAAAAGTAATGAGCTTTATGTTTCAGTTGTCACATTATAATTCAAAAAGTGCCATTTCACAGTGAACAGTGCGACAATGTTGGCTGACACCTCTGCATTAAGATGTAATTTCAGTGTGATCCTTAAAGTGATCTGAGTGATGGCTCTCTTCCCCCCGCTGCTCGTGGAGCAAGCACAGTGACGGTGCTGGTGGCCGATCCAGAGGCTTAATAATGATAACCTCGCCAGTATTAGCTGCAGGGGTTATTCACACAATAATTGTTTCTGCCAAGCCATATATCTATATGACAGAGAAAAAACTGGTGTGACTTTCCTGCTAAATAATTGATTTAAGAATTGGCTGCAGCAACTATTTCAAGGAGATGAACATGGTTTGTACTATTTTTTATATATATATATATATATATATATATATATTTGCACTGAAGAAACTGAGAACTTATTAGCTAATTAGAAGATAATTACAAGTCTCTGCAAGTTGATTAGCAATTTCACTGTTGAACATTAACAATTTACGCCAACACTACACTCAATTTCAGCACTTGTTTTGCTTTACTTACCTAAATTCTAAACAGTACAAGTATTTAAAGATTTCACCTTGACAAAACTTATTACCAGCTTCAGCATGCAATTAAACTTGCCAAACAGGCATTAATTCTTTGTTCATTACCACATTAGATGTGTGTTGGGTAATTTAGACACTTCAATACAGGACAAGACTACCACGGCTATTAAAAGGCATCAATCGTGCACCAAATGCTGATATATTTTGTTAATTTACAGCAGCTCATTTGCCGATACCTTAGACCTGCACTGGCGGTGACAGAAGTTCCATGTGTAATGCTAAGCCTCTGCCCGAGCTGGACAGGGTGCCCTCCCCTGCAGTTTAGAGTGACTCAAAGGTGAAGCCCTGAAAATGAATACAATGTACTCACATGCTCCACAGTTTAGATTTCACTGACTCGCATCATCCTGTAATAGCCGCACACAAAGCTGCAGTCAGTTGCAACCCCATGAAATTGTGTCTGGCTGTACGGCGGTATCAATGCAGCTCATGGGTCAAAGGGTCAATGAGTAATTAAGACATGGTTGCCTGAGCATTCCCCATGCACACTTTCAGTCCTGATGAAAGGTTGGAAATGAAAGGAGGGGGATTTAAGTGCATCCTGATACTATGGATCAGATTTCCATAAGTGTGTCTAAATGTTCCGTGTTCAAGGCAATTAGTATGATTAACAGATAGTGTGGTGTCATCGTGCTGTTAAGGAGGATTTTACAACTGAATTCTGCATCAGGTTTAGACATTTTGGTCACAACATAGGTTACATAACTTAAAATAAAAACATATATAACACAGTATACTTTGAAATGTCATTGAGGGGTTGTGTATATTACTGTATATCCAGAGACGTTAAATATCTGTATAGTAATGAGTGTGCTTCCTTCAACAAAGCAAAACAAAGTATCTTTTATTTTTTGGGGGGGAAAGAAGTGATGCTGGTGTCAGAATAAGTGTTGGTGAGGCCTACAAATGATCATCGAAAGACCACGAGGAAGCAACATTCAACTTTTCAGAACACTCATGAAGAGGTACATCATGAACAGCACATAGGCGGATATCGTCGCCTTGAAGTGCAAAGAAGGTCAAAAGGTGCATTGATTTACATGTACAACAAGAAATTACTCGTTTGCTTTCATTGTTGCTAAAAATGAAGAGGCCAAGGCCGGAAAATTGAGGTCGCTGATAAATGCTATTAGTAGGAGATGCTGAGGGGTGAAGAAATCAATATGGCAGTTTGTCAACCTGCCTCTCAGAGGGAGCAGACTCTGCAGCAGAGGTAAGTGTGCCCTGTCAGCAAAGCACATTACCAGAAATCAAAGGCCAGAGAAGGCCTCAAGGTAGGGATGTTAATGTCTCTATACAAAGGCCACACTTTGGTAATTAAAACCTATTTTATCAGACCTGTCTTGTCCCTGGTTTTTCTCTAACACTATTGACTATCTGTTGCATGGAGACTGATCACTAATTTACCTTTAAATAAATGAGCCGAGGTTATTTAAATTCCTGCATTTGTCACACAAAATTAAGCAAAAGACATGGCGGTAGGCCTATTAATAAATTATGCCACTCGGTATCACTTACATTAATTATTTATAATCTTTAAGGCTTGAAGGAAATGTTGTCCATCTTATTAACCCCCCACACCCTTTCAAGACCAACACAGGTGTTAATACCGTGTGGCATCAAAAAACAACAAGATAAAAACTGTTGTCATTTCATACACTTTAATATTTATGCAAAAATAAACTTTTACAGTGACTATGAAGACACTGGAGGCTGATACAATGTTCACAAACACCGCTGTGAAGACATCCAGGAAAAGGCGTAGTGTCAAATTGTCTATTCTTCAAGAAATCCTAAACTTTCCATTAATCTTTCATGGAAATGTAGCTTTCTGAATAAACACAGTCAGTATTGTATGTCAGTGTAATAACATGCATAACTGACTCCTCCACTGCAACTTTTAAATCTTAAATAATTAAACACCTAAAATGAACCTGTGCAGTCAGACAAAAGGGAGCACTAATGACACAAGATGGCACTTTGGTCGATAGGTCCACCAGAACAACACCTCGGGAACGGTTGTAAATACAGCAGCTTTTGGAAGAGTTTCTTGAAAACACAATCAAAATAGTCTTTAGTTTGTGGTTTAGTACTGCGCGCCTTCGTCTTCTTTATAGGCAAAATACACAGTGACGGGTCCCACACTCGTCTGCACTGTTTCTGCAGCTCCCACCACCATCCAGCAACCGATGCCATAGGCCAAACAAGGGATGCCTGCAATAAGAGGACACAGTGAATATGTGGAGTCCTTCAAAATAAAATAATCATCTTACAGGAAGAAGATGGAGCAGTGAATGTATTTACTGACCCAGATTAATAGCTTTCAACATGGTGAAAAACTTGTCCTCAAAGTCCAGGTTCTGTGGAGGTGCTTTGCTGCAGTGATATTTTATAAAGGGGAAGCAGCCTGTTCTCAGTATCTGGTAGTTTTCTCCCTGCACCCTCCAGTTAAAGTTGGACAGTCCAAACTGGTCGTTGTGGACGGAGCTGTAGCGGACACAGTATGAGGTCCACGGAGGTAGTTTACGCTGCAGCAGGTGGCAGGTCAACACTTCGGAGGCAGCTGGCCGCGGGCCTGTGCTGCCAAATGTTCTCGGAAACAGGACGACCTTTAGGAAGATGCTGTGTATCTTCCGCAAAACTTCCTTCATGACTTATGCTTTTAAAAAAATAAAATAAAAATATAACTTCACCTTTGCTGCTGTTCGTATTTTATCATCTGGACTGGATGCAAATGACTCTCAGATAATGCTATTTTATTGCATAGGTTAAATAAACCTTAAATAGACATTTTATTTCAGTTCATGTGCAGCAGTAAAACATGCTGCACGTCCTTTAAAGCAGTGCAGGAAGCAGGACGATGCCGCTGCACACAGGACGATTTACATTTATTATTATTAGCATTATTATTATTATTCTGCTTAAAATATTCCTCTACACGTCCGGACACATGCTGAACACATTCATTTGTCTTAACCTGAGAAAAATGCAGCACTGTGTATGCTTACGTGCCGGAGTGTTTTTGGTCTGACCTGGTGCTCCTACTAAAGTCCTCCGGTCGGAAACACAGCGCTGCGCAGTTGTTCCTCCTCAACAGAATTAGCGACTACAAACCATTATAGACAGTATATATACAAACTGATAACTACGTTTGAGTTATACGTGCTCAACTGTTAATAGTATATGTTATATATATATATATATATATATATATATATATATATATATATATATATAATATATATATAATATATATATATATATATATATATATATGAGTCCTGTGTGAAGTGAAGTTTGCACTATACTCACACTAGATCACACTATAAAAAATAAATCCAAATGAGCTTCTATCATTTTATCATTTAAAAAAATAGCCTATTCAGTGTGTGTGAATGTAAATATTCATCTTTTCCCAGCTGTAAGAGATTTCCATCTGCAGTTTATGTTTGCCATATTTATCAAGACATGTATGATACCATAACAACTGCTACGAAAAACCCCTCTTCAACTTTTACCATCACTAATGACAGTGGTAAAAAAGTGTTTTTGTGAGCTCCTGACCATATGAACAGGACCAGCATCCTCCTTCAAGTGCAGACTATGTGCTCTCAAAGACACTGCAGCATCTGTTCAAATATTTTCAATCAACAGTTCATTGGTCTGTTATAGATCAGCACCATGGACAGCAGCCTACAAACCACAACAAGTTCTCCATATCAGCCAGATTTAATACTGAATATGGGCCACTAAAAGTGTAAAAGTTAAGTCAAGCTAGAATGTATACACATAATATTATTAGAACATATAAACACTGTATACACACTGGATGTACATATTGTATGTAGAGAAATCTGGGTGGTTTGTGTGGGTGATTAGCACAAATTGACAGAATATGTAGATCATTTAAAAGTAACTGTACAGCAGATTGTTTGTGAATTTAACACAGCATCTATACATTTTCCCCAGACTTATACAATCCGAGCACACTGTAAAGGTGACACATAACAATTATTATTAACCAGAAAAAAACAAACTAGAAGTTGAGCTGCAGAAGAAGTGAAATAAAAAACACCATGTTGTAATAAATAGCCTAAAACACTGGAATAAGTAAGCATATCCTTTTGTGCATTTTCAACAACAAAATACCGTATTTCTGAAAAGCTATTTGATAACTTCACTACTTCATGATAAAGAAATAATATTGCCTTTGACAGTGAAATTACAGCCAGCACTAATTACTTTCTCATCCAGCAGCCAAAGTAATGTGTGGCCACAGGTTAACAGAGGTTCTCTTAACAATAACACTACACAATACACAGTACACTCATACTCATCTATGTTGTATACATTTGGGCACACAGTAAAATACTGAATACACCACATATTCATTTTATGTCACACTACAAGCACAAATAATATTCAGATTCCAACACAAAACAAAGCTGCTTTATACAATGTGAATACATGAATAATTCATGAATGAAGCCCTCTAATTCTCCAATGGAATTACTTTGTGCATATTTTACTGTATGCCTTTAATAGCCATAATTTTCCAATATTTAATTATATTCAAGCAGTTAAAACAGATCACTAAACCATTCAGTATAGCGGCTCATGACAGATTCTGACAATGTTTTTTCTAGAATTTATTTGGCTATCTATGTCTGATCAATACTGATTCATTTGTTCATGTATTCACAGAGTAATTTGAGCTGCCAAAGATATTATGACTTAACTTGGCGAGAGTAAGGCAAGTTTGTCAGTGAAGCAGCTGTTTAAGCAGCAGGTTTATGCCTCCACTGCTTGCATCTTGTTCTGAACAGTCATCCGCAATCTGTCCTTGATCAGCTCCTCCAAAAAAGAAAAGATGAAAGAAGGGAAATTAAATTACTCCCCTTTCAGCAAAAGCATTCCACACGACCGGCGCTTCACTGAAAATGCAAGTTTCATTATATAGATGAGGAGAGATCGTTAAGTAATTAACATGTTACCTGAACATTTGTTTCTCCTCGCGTTTTAGGGGGGGGTGATATTTCCTGATGAATGACTGACAGATTCAGAGCAAAGGTCACTGGAGCTCCCTGGAGATCCTCTGAGACTGGCCTATTGACGTCAGCCCAAACAAACGAGTTTACTAATGTTCCCCATGTTGCCAGCTAAGAAACAATCACCTTGTTCATCTGACAGCGGTGGTTAAATGAAACTTTCAGCAGGCGACATCTTCAGTCTTTAGGGGGCTGAGCACAGCTTGATTTAACTGTTACAGCACTGTGTAAGCTAAAGGATCTGAGTGATAAATATGTTAAATAACCCTCTGCTTAAGTTTGTAACAACATTTACAAAGCCAGAGGTGGCATCTTAATCCTCTAAAAGAATTGCCTTTCTCTTAGTCTGCAGAAGACTTTCTTCCACCTAATCCTCTACAGTTTTTCCATGTGCTTGTCTATTTGAACAAAGAAGTAAAGCAAACCAAATATATGCTTTCTCCAGGCAGCGGACCCTAAATTTCATTAATACTGCATGTATGTGAATTTGACGCATAAGACAACAACATCAATCGCTGAACCAGTGCTTCTGCTCTGTGATTTCTGTCAGAAGAAGAGCTCCATTATCACATAGTGAAGATTAAAATCCATTGATTCAGCTCTGCACTTGTCGGGCTCTTGATGTACAGTCAAAAAATATATATCAAAAACAATGCTCTTGTTAAAACATGGTGCTAACATTACCCACAATGCAACCTGACCATTCGGTCGGTCAGTGTGACTTTGGCTAGCTAGTTCGCCACCCCCTGCTAGGGCTTGTGAAGATTCTCAACTTCAAAAACGTTGCAGCACATTTTTGATTTGCCATCAATTCTCATAATAATTCTCAATCTACGCTGTTGAGTTCTCGCTTTAAATGTTCTCAGAATTTAATTTTGTGTTAAAATAACACACAGAAACACACCTTTCCTCTGCTCGCTTGTAAGCTGGCAAGTTCATACAAGTTAACAACCGATGCATCCTCAGTAAAATGGGCATGTTGAGAACTTCCAGGAATTAAGAACAGACAAGAACGCAGACTGAGGAAGGCCCCCCTGTGTTATGCTAGTAGCGGTTAATGTAGCCTCGAGCCACTAGCCTCAAGCAAAGATGAGGAGTGTGCTACTGAGGTCTGGCAGGTAAGCTCAACTCTTTCTAACTACACATGCCCCAGATTTAAAGAAAATGTTCAAACATATAGTCCTCAGCTCAGTTGACGCTGACTCAAGTGACATCACTTGAGGTAATTTACCAGATTTTGTCCAGCTCCCCCATCTTTCCCAAAGACCTGTAACCATACATTGATGTGTTAAAATATGTGAAGTTCTGCTTTAAATCAACCACATATTAAGTTGCAAAAACAACTGTTTTTACCTCCAGGTCAAATCCTACGCCATGAGCCTTGCACATCATCAAGAACGCATTATAGTATAACACGGAAAGGTTTAGACTAAAACAAGTGGTTCCCAATGACTGCATAATAATGAACCTCAGGAGGTTGTAAAAAATAAAAGCAAGAAAGAGAAAGTGTATGATTGTTTGCATTCGTCTTTCTATTAATCTAAAACAAGACACAATCGTGTTATGCTCTAGTCTATCCGGGGCTAAAGCATAATAGGTGGTGGTGTGTGTAAAATGGGTAGAGATGGCTGAACCCCATACACATGTCCTTAGGGTCACTGTTGAGTTTAGGGAGTGTGTGTGATTAGTAAACATGATGAGTGTGGGGCACATGTGGTAAACTGTTGGGCCTTTCTTAATTAACTGCGGGGAGGAACAATTAATGTTCAGAAGACATGCCAAATACAAGATGAGCTTAATTGTATGATGCCAATCAAAGAAACTACAGTTTTGGGACTGAGAATCTTTGCATTCAATTTGAGACAAAAGCACTATTGACTGCACAAAAGGACCACTCAACGCACAATACATATGGCCATAATAGAGGGGTACTGAGCATGTGACTGTCATAAGTAACACTAGAGAGGTTGATTACTTAAAAGTGGCAGGGCTCAAGAGGATAAAAATGTTCCTGGTTCTCAGGCGCCGTTGGGAGACAAAAAGAGCAGGCCTAAGCCCCTGTGAGCTCAGGAGATAGCCCATAACTCGCTGTGATGGCTGTGTGTTTGCAGTTGTCAAACCCAGGACCCTCCCACAACAATAAAATTGTCCAACAGGGATTTAATTGTGTTTATAATATGCAGGCCCCTAATGATGGCCACTGCTAAAACCATTACCCACTGCGGTGGCTCAACTGCTGTACTGAAGCACCAGGCCACCAACTAAATGAATGTTTGATAAAATAATACAAGTCGCAGATTAACAAGCGTAAACTCAGGCATACTGCTAATAAAAGAACTCTATTGTTTAAGGCCTGGCACCAGGTTGATGAGGTGTTCAAGCATGCATACACATGCATAATGAAAATGGTATGAATTATTAATGTGTTGATTATTTAGGCTCATCTATCAAAATGATAATGAATTCAGCACCTAAACACCAATTGAGCTCAGTGCGTAATTACAGTATTTAGTTGTATTTAACAAAAATGAAGAGCAAAACATTGGTCTATCTGTGTGATTACTGTAGTGGTATAATATTATGCTCTAAAGTCTCAGCTTGCATTAGGACTGGTGGTCTCTTTGTTGTTAATTTTTTTCCTCAACAACAAAGAGATACAAACATGGTAAAATATACAGCTACAAATACAGCATAAAAAATCAGCCTCCTCGTGTTTAAGAAAAAATGAACATTATAAAAACTGTTATTATGGGCAAATGTAAAAAGGTACTTTGGCTGCAATCTGGTGTTCACAGCATTTCTCTCCGATTGGCACTGGCACTTCTGAACAGCCTGCGTTCCTCCAGTCATCATCAGAAGCATCTGGGTCATGGCCAGCTGGTCACTGTATGTGAGGTCCAGATCAATAGCCCACACCTGCAAATAAGACATCATGAACTCTGTGTCACAGCAGAGAAAAACAGACACTATACACTTATTAATTCCAAATTAATCACAAAAATGGAACATCAAAGTATTTCACCCACCAGTCCTTATAAAAGGAAGGGTCAGTACCTTTTAATCCTTACAATGTTATCCAAGTTGAGAGGCAGGGGAAAGGAAAAACACGGTTAATGGTGTATGCTCGACAGATTTAGGTAATTCAGTTGTGGAATGACACGTGCACAAAGTAGATCCTTCCCTACACATTTGGATTCAGTCTGCCCTGGGCTAGTTTGTTTGGCTCAGGTCTGATGAGAAGCTAAGTTCAGATATGTATGGTAAATGGCATCATTATAAGTATATTAAGGGGTCAGGTATGGTCATAGCCTTCTGCTTAAACAGAGCTAATTTTCCCAATAATAACCTAACAGCTATGCCCTCTCTTCAAAAGTGGCAAATAAATCACCAGTGAAGGAGTTGTTAATAACTAAGTGGCAGTCGACTGCCTCCTTTTGCTGTTCCTATTTGTCAAAGTAAACGCTCCTGCCAGTGAATGCAAATCGCTGCCTGTCTGAACCCCGCAGTCTCTGTAACCTGAGCACTTTATCTCCACTAACACATTTCGTATAGGCTATTTTATTTTTTATTCAATTCACATATATTTTCTTGAAGGTAGGCCATAGGCTAGGGCTGCAACTAACTGTTACTTTCATTAGCAATTAATTTCTTGACTAATCATTGTTTTCAACAAAATGTCAAAACTGCACATCAAACCCAAAGATAAAAGCTAAATATTAATTTAAAGTGATATAAGACTAAGAAAATCTGAGAAATCTTCACATTTGAGAAATCAGAGAAAGTTTGGCACTTATATTTGAAAAATAATCAAAATGATTAATCAATTGTCAATTGTTGTTAGTTTTTTGTCAGACGAATAATTGATTAACAGCTCAATAGATCAAAACATACTGAACGAATTTTAAAGGGGCTGTAATATAAAACTTCAAAAGACCAGGAGTTGATGAAATACCTGAAATAATGTATTAAAATATTATAGTGACAAAAAATATTTTCTTTAGAATAATTTTAGACAACGTGTGATCTGATTTATAAACCAGGAGTAATGGTTTGAACTACACTGTTGTAGCTGGTAATCTGTAGCTGTTTTCCAATGCCTAAAACATTGTTAATGAATTGTAATAGCATAAGTAAATGTATACATTACAAACATTTTTTTATAATGATCGTTTCAATGATAAAAATACAGGCAAGGTGCAATTTAACATTTTACAGCAATATTAATGTAATTTCTACATTTTGACTAAGCTTTAAAAGTGTTATAAACAGCACACATCAGAACGATCTAAACAACTGCAACTTGTGTACATTCATGTTTAGCGACTATGCGCTGCCCACTTCACTGTCAGAGTACCACTGATGCTAGTCTCTATGCATCCGGTTGGTACCTGGGTCTGAGTGATGGACACACTCCACCGCGCCATTCACTCGACTCACTAAAAATCATACTCCAATGTTTCATTGTCGTTCTTAACAAAGCCGTGGGAAATGTAAGCCTGGATTGTACCTGTTTTCTATTGCCTTGCATTTTCATTAAAAACCCTGATGCTGCAGCTGGGGCCCCACCGTTCCACAATGTGTGGAAAGACTGCAAGGGCAAACATATGTGACCCACTTCTTCCCATCAAATAAAGTAGGCAGCTTTTAGCAACAGGTTTGAATCTAAATTGATGTTTAAATCCAGACACGTTTGCCCTCTGTCTGAGCTCTGTGTGTGGGGAGATGGTTAAGAATCTGTCTTTAATGTTCCTGCCTCTATTGAAGCACATGCTGTTTATAGTCTGTTCTTAATTATGCTGTCAGTGAATCCCATTCAATTTTGGGTCAACATTGAAACTGAAAATTAATTTTATAGCTGTCATTATATCATTCTAAACTGTTTTTTTTTTTTTTTAAAGGGCAGCTTCCATCCCGATGATGAATTTGAGAAATAGCAAATTTTTTGATTTGAGTTTTTGTTTGAAAATATTAAATCCTGAAATGTAAGAACTACTGTGAGTTATCTTTTTACCTTAAAATTAATATTTATAATATATAACAAATATATTCATAACATATATATATTTATTATATATATATAAAAATATATGTATGAATGTATATAGATTATATTGCATATTATATTGCATTGTCTGAACACTGCTTTGCTCACACTGTGTGGTTACATCTAATCCATAAGATACTACCCTCTAGTGGCAATCGTGCCCTCAGCTAGTGTCTGCTCCAAATCCATATTTTACACTGAGAATCCATTATGAATGCAAACCTAATTAAAACTACAAAAAACAAGAGAAAAAAACAAAAACAAATAAAAGAGACTTTTTTTGTGGAAGATGTTTTGTGATCTGATGTATTTTTAATGAAAGAAAAATAAAAGTCACTTTTTTCATACCTTTTTGTAAAACTGTAAAGTAGCTATAGTGCTTTCTCCACCGTTTTGAAGGTTTAGTATTTTATAGACCGTATTATAAACAAAGCATTTCATTTTACAGCTCTGGATCAATAAACAGTCAATGTAGCCACATGTTAGGAGCAGAGGTTAAACCATCATAAACCAGTCCATTTCCAATATCATAAATCAAGACCGTTTCAACAAAACTTAATCCTGACAAATGAGACGAGGCTTCGATGGTGCCTCGCTATAATATCGAGACAAATTTCAGAAGACCACTTCAGGTAACCAGCTAGGGGTTAAACACTGACAGGGCATCCCTGTGAAGCTGCCAAATCACTTTAGAGTGACCTATTGTCTGAAAGATAGGACCCTCTGAATTTCTCGGCATCATAAGGTTAAAGGGCAAACCTTAAATGGTGGAATCAGTGTATCGACACAATAAGACCTGACAGTTTATTAGATGGCCTTGTGACACATTTGGTCCCTGCGCCCACTGTTTGCCTTGCCTGTTTTTCAAATCCCAAGGGAGCAGTAAGGGAGGCACCTATCTGCTCATATGGATCCCTGATCCAACCTAAAAATTGATCTCTTTCACCAATATGGGGTAATAGAGACGTTTGACACCACATGTTGCAACAGCCCAGACCATAATTATCGTGGTAGCATGAGCTAAGGCTTTCTCTTGCCCTGCCTGTGTCTCACCTTCTGCTACAGATCCATGGAGACATAACCCACTATAAGGTGCTGTAGACAGGCCTTGTTCATACACATGCAGATGGAGTGCAAGGTCTCTGGGTGTACAAAGGTCTGAAGAACAGTGGAGCCTATAGCTTCCAGTTGACAGGAGCGGTGAAGCTGGTCTCCACAGGACAGGATGGTCACCTCACCTCAGGGCTCCAGCTGCAGATCTACTGTCAGACAGGTGACACTGTCTGACCGGGGGGTCGGACACCACCACACCACCTTGACACACAGTGAGAGCAGAGATATGGCTGCCGTACAGACAACAAAAAGTTACCAGTATCTGAAACTCTCCTAGCAGCTGTTTAACAACCACCAAGAGTAGCATGAAAATTATTAAAATTGTCAGTTCACACAGACAACATCTGGGAACTAGGACGAACTGTTCGCATATTCCAAACGGCTGTATTTGCAGGTGAAAAGCATTCAGTGCCTGACAATAGGTATCTGACCTTGCCTGAGGAAGGTCTTTAGGAAGCAGGCCCAGTTGGGATAGCAGGAGGTTTTAGCAGGCCGAGCGTAATGGGCGAGCCACTCTGGGATCTCATCTAAATATTTGAGCAGTACAGGCTACTGCAGAAAGAATGTTAAGGTCCATACATTATCTACTGAAAATGAGTTTGTGACAGATCTGAGGACATTATGTAGTCAATAACAAGTCCTGGCTACTTTATTTTGTCCCATTATCAAAGCTTTCTAGGTGTCGACTACATTGTTGGAAATGCCCTTGTGTTATCCGGATGACTCCAGTGACTGCTTGTTATCCTTGAGACCTTTGGTGGCTGCTTCAATTTCTGTGCGAGTGTCTGACGGATACTGCAGGAGGGTCTATCTGTGAGTGACAGCCTATTATCAGAAGGCCTCAGGAGTCTAATGGCTTTAACTCACAGCCAGAGACAGCACCTGCCCTCAATAACAACTCTCTCAACTGGGCAGCTGATGAATGCCTAAGCTAACCCCATCTATCTGGGGATCAATCAGGGCTTGACTGGGATCAATATCACTCTTGTTTCTGTAACTAGGAAATGCCATAATGGTTTCACCACTTAATTACGCTGTTAATTTCTAACTTTTGTTTTAGGTGTCTCTTAAACAGTAAATTGTGTAAATTGTGTACACCGTTTCCTGACAATGCTGTGATATAGTTAAAGTAAGAACTTTATTAAACCTTTAGCTCTCATGTTATACCATATAAATTGTATTATAAAACTACATTCTGCTTATGTTGACTGTATGAAGAATCCAAGTGCTGAGTCTTGTTTTAAATACAGGGTTCTGTATGAAAGAATGTATGTGTATGACCATTACACAGGAATTTAATTTGGTGATACAAAACAAAATATATGTGTATGTCTGAAAGATGACTAAATTCTGAATAGAAATAATGTCTTTGTTCCTTCATCGTTCTATCCAGAGCGTTACTTTGTTTTGAGTGTATGCTGTTTGGCTTCACTGGAGACAGGACTAGAGATTATGCTGTTGATATTCCAGTCATGTAACAGCCATCATCATATTCAAGTACTGTAAGAGGCGAGGTCAAATGCTACACAGTGATTCCCCCTATACAAACCATAAAGCACACAATGGTGCGGCAAAAAGTGTAAGGGAACGGTTGTCATTTTCAACGGAAGAGCAAGCTCACCCCAGGACTTTGCCTATGCAGTTCACAGAAACAGCAGGACAGGAGGAAAAGAAAGAGAGGTATTTTGCAATAAATTATTTGGACTTAAACTGCGTACAGTACCCTGTGATAGGATTCAAGCTTTGCTTGGTGTCCACATAAAGCCAAGCAATCTGGTCATAAATAAAATAGATGTTACCCTGCCTCTTTGATTGCTATTTCATCTCTCCATTACATAGTGAAACAACTGAGAAGCTACAGTGAGTCTCGGAAATAGACGGATATAATCTGAGTGGTCACACATTTCATATGAATATTAATTTTCTGTAGTACCATCCCAATAAACTTCGAACCGTAATCTACTACAGCCCATGACTAATTTAATGTGTAATATTAAATTAAACATTTTGTTACTCTCTTATTCTCATTATTTTCATCCCTGTTTAAATTTAACATCACTGCAAGCACAGCAAAAGTTCCTCTGGTTAAAGATTTCACAAAAAGCACTCCTAACATTCATTGAAATCAAGGAAAACACAAAACAAGCATCCATTAAACATGAACTGCAGAAAATGTTCTAATGTCTTATTAAGGTAATTCAGGTTAATTATGTTAAGGCAGAACATTATATATTTAAAGTTCTCCATGCAATCACAGACTGCACAATATTTAGACAGAAAACATCTGTATAAAATGTCCCCGTACCTCTTCAGTGGTAGTGATTATCAAATGACCCATTTCGTTGACAAACTTAACCTAAATAAGGTGTAGCTCAAGATCTGTTTGTACACAGTGTGACAAAAAGAAATACTCCATCTGTTGACGCTATTAGGTGTAATTTTTACCCTCTTGTGCCTAATGATCCATATGCAAGCTGTGTGAGCTCTTAAGTGTGTGTGTGTGTGTGTGTGTGTGTGTGTGTGTGTGTGTGTGGCCCCCTTCAGGCAGTGCATGGGTGCAGATCTACATGTCTTTAACCTCTCTCTGTGTAAATGCTAAAAGATGCCTGGGGGCTTTCTGCAGGCTGAAACATTGTGCTGGAGGCTGTGGGCCTATTCAGACCTCTGTGGAAGCTCCTTTAGTTTAGATGTGATTCCTCCTCCTTCACGTTGTATCCTTTAAGGCTTTCTTTTGCATAGCCAGAGGGGATCTGATTGTTGGTATTATTCTGAGAGACCACATGGCATTGTTGTGAGTCCGGCCTCTTCATGCTGAGCCCATCAGAACAAGCAATAATTAAAAAAAATGTGCACACACTCTGTGTAGACTATCGCTAGGAATACTCTCTAATCCTCCTCTACTTTTACTGTGATTATAAAGGGTATGAGACATTCCACTGAATTGTAAAACCTATTTGCATAATGTACACTTCAATCATCACTTATTTGTTATTTTTTTGGTAAACAATAATCTTAGTGAAGAACTGGTAAATTCTGAATTAATATTTAAAATGCTTCATTTCATAATTTGTGTTTCATTAATAATGAATTAAATTGCTACTCTTTTCATAAACATAGCTTTAAACATATATTGCTTAACTGCTTGCAAATATTCAGCGTTGTGAGTATATATCCTATTCACTAGCTGTCATTGCTATTGCAATTAGGCCTACTTCTTTTCAGCAAAGTGCCACGTTAATGAGTGTTATTTCTCAAAATATTCTACCATGTTTAAACATCCATCTACAGTTTCTGCTGTGAGGAGAGGGAAGCGAGGAGATACACTGATATAAAATATTCATATGTTTCTATCTAATCAACAACAATGTTCTGTAATTTTTTAGCATATAGAGCCAAATTGCTATCTTCAAGATACACAAGTACAACAGCAGAAGGACGATGTAATACATTTAGGGGGCTAATACATTTTAGGAGAAAACAATGTCAAAACAAAAAACCATGCAATGAGGAGCACAGGATGTGGGCTTTGCTTTGATTAAAAGAGCAAGGTGTAGAATAAAGGCCAGTTAAAGTGTTGTGTCCATATGGCCCAGAAGCCCCGAGGCTGTCGGCCTACACTGGGGGCCTCGGCACTCTTCCCTCTCCATGGGACCCCAGCTGGTGAAACAAACCCCATTTACTTTCCTGTGCTGCCTCAGCCACCATTATGGACCTTGGCTGTGGCTCAGCCATTCTCTGCCATAATTAACAGCCCCAATGCCACAACAATTACAGCCCCGCACCACACATACACTATGAATCAAAGAACGAGCTAATAGGAACAAAACAGAGTGAGCCACAAGAAGCTTGAGATGACTGCTGTTCTTTCAAATGAAATAAAAAATAAAATCATTGTGCTCCAAGCCCACAATCATTAGCCAGTAATTAGTTTACACAAAGCTCCCAGTTAAATGGCAAAATACGGTAATTAACACATGACAGAAAATCAAAGGCTACTTTGTAAACATATGAAAAATAAGAGCCAGGGGCTCAGACGCTCTGTACAGAATGCATCTGTACTAAATGAATGGTTTACCAATGATTAAATTCATTTTATTTGTTTTTGAATAGGTCTGATATTAAATCTGAATTTATTTTTTGAGGAAATAGAGGAAAGGATATTTCTAGAAAAATACAATGTTACAGTTTCAACCCTACACACAGCATTTGTACTAAAATGTTCTCATTACAAATGGCCCGGACCCATCCACTGAGTGTTATAGACAGACAGAGACAGAAAGCTTAGTGTTGTAATGCCAGAGCAGCAGATCAAAACATCCACCATCACCTTCGGGATTAAAGTGTTTCGTGTGACAATCTAATCTGTAATCTGCACAATAGTTTTACAAAATATGTACACATGTAGAGACAGAGAAATGCTCTTTTCACCAGAATTTCTGTAATGTGATTTAATTGTCACTGCCAGGTGAGCTAGGGCATTACTACCATTAGAGAGGCTTTTGTTCTTCCCAACACACCGACACTAGCTGATGTGTGCGCCTCAGAGAATGGATAATGTCTGTGTGTATAAACAGATATTTTATGTATTGATTTAATGTTGTGTGGCTCTGGGGATGATGCTCAAAATACTGTACTACAGGGACCAGCATTGGGACATTAAGACAGCCTACTCTGGGCTAAATGATGGGATCTCTGACCCCAATGTGACCTAAGCTTTTGTTCCATCAATGACAGAAGTGAAACTAACATTTTTTTGAACTCTCTCATCTCAACAAGGAGCACAATCTCCATTTTAATATCTAGCTGTTATTGTAATGATATCTGTTAAGCATCTAGTTGTTACCATGTTAACTTTAAATGGCCGATCCCTCATTGGTATGACTGTAATAATAATAGCAATAAACTTTATTTGTATTGCACTTTCCTAAAACCAGTGCTTTGGAGGGAGCCATAAAAACAAGACATAATAGTAAAAAACATCAATTTAGGGAGAAGTAATAAGGGAAATAAAAAAATAAAAACACAAACCTAAAATTCAACAAATTCAATAAAACATAAAAGTAAGTGTATAAAATGTGCCTTAAGAAGTGGTCCGATAACAATGATACTCCTGCGTTGTTATAGCAGCTAAGAGTGCATACATCACAGTATGCTGTGAAATGATCACTATGCAAACCCATCTTGAGTCAGTGCTGCACATCCATGTTTTGAATCATGAGCTCGGCCAGTGTTTCATGAAGCTAAACCAAGAGAGAGACATGTGAATGTATGACACGTGTATGACTGTGACTTGTTCGTATCCAATCAAGAGCTCTCCATCACTCTAGATGGAACTGTATTGCGAAGAAAACTGTACAGATACGAACAATATATTACATTGAACATGGGGAACTTAGATTATACGATATCTTAACTAAAAGAAAATCTTGTCCACCAGAAAGAGTGAGTGAGTGTTTATTGATTGATATGGGTAAAATAGATTTAATTTATTTAATTTATTTAACTGTTGGCGAGTTGTACTGCTAGTGAATGATGCCAAGACCTACATAGTTACACATAACTACAAGTTATATAAATTATAAATGTAACATTTTCTTCAGTTTCTACAGTAGTTGTTTTTCACAGCAACCATTTTGACACAAAACAGTAGGGTTAACACAGGTGTTACCAATAACTCTAATTAAGGCCTCGTTCCATTTAGTGTTGCAGAGCTTTTCCATGTGCCAACATGCACATTAGCAGCATACTAACTCTGTTTGACCCGAACGTAGTGGAACCTTAATTAGTATCAGTGTAACACCTGAGTTTATCCTACTATTTAAACGCAAAATGACTGCTGTGAAAAAAGGCTATTATTGTCAAACTATTCAGGATACTCTCTCTTAGAACACATCCTTAAGAGGGGTTGAGAGAAGAAGGTCAGAAATCAGTGATCTCCAAATAAGAGGATGATTTATTTCTGATGAGACGGAGAGGTGGTTATTGTGAGCAGCAACATTTTCCTCTGGGTACTGTTGAATTCATAGAGAAGATTGAGAAAAAGAAAAAAACTGAGAATAGGGACAGGAAAACACATGTCCAAAGAGAATCCTGTGCATTTTTTGAGGACACCTAAATCTGTCTACAATCACCAGACCACCCACCTGTCTCAGACATTGGTGCATGCAGATCACAGTGGAAACAAGCGGGCATAATAAATTGCTAGGAATAAGTGACATTTAAACAGACAGTAACTATTCACAGGCATATTAAATTGCTAAGGTTATCTTTGCTTGATCTGGAGTTGGTTGGACTACTGTTTACAGTACTCCCTACACACCCACACGCACACACATATACACTGTGTGTGTGTCTTTCTCTTTTTCTCTCACCACTGCTACAGTGTGATTAACACCACATCTCTTTAGACAAGAAAGCCCAAAAACTCTGGGGAAGAAATTAAGTTAGTAGCATGCATTAATGGGAAATGAATGTGTATAGCTAGAGAGGGAGAGGATGAGAGAAGAGCACAGTGCATCATGGGAAGTCCCCCAGCAGTCTAGGCCTATGTCAACATAACTAAGGGATGGTTCAGTGCTCACCTGAGCCAGAGCCTGACCTATAAGCTTTATCAAAGAGGAACGTCTTAAGCCCGCTCTTAAATGTGGAGAGGGCGTCTGCCTCCCATACGAATCCCTTTTTCTAGTTCCTGTCACTACACATGCCCCAGCATTCTGGATTAATTAACGAGTCTTAACGGACTTATTGGGACAGCCGGATAATAAGGAATCGTAGTAAACCAGTCTAGAAGTAATGCATGGACTTTTTCTACATCTCCTTGTGATAGGATGTTTCTGATTTTGTTGTTTGATGTTATGTTATAAAAAAGGCAGTCCTTGAAGTTTGCTTTATGTGGGAGTTAAATGACATAACCTGATCCTGAAAAATAATGCCAAGATTTAACATCAGAAAATCGCAGGTCATACAGGTTTTGATGTCCTTAAGGCATACTCGTAATCTAACTAATTGATTAGTTTCATCTGGCTTGATCGATAGATATAATTGGGTATCATCTGCATAACAATGAAAGTTAATTGAGTGATTCTGCATAATGTTGCGTAAAAAAATATAAGATGAATAGAATTGGTCCAAGCACAGAACCTTGTGGAATGCCATGACTAACTTGGATGTGCACGGAGGATTTATTGTTAACATGTACAAACTGAGATAGATCTAAAAAATAGGACTTAAACCAGCTTAGTGCGCAGCAGCTCCCAGCTAACCAATCTTCGCCCCAGTTTCTGCAGCTGTATCTTCAGCCACACCTATACCGAGGTCATGATAATGATCAGGTGGGGTCACGTTACTTGAGCTAAGTCACACAAGGATTTGGTCTGGTTTTTACTTTCACTTACATTCAACTAAATAACTGTTCTATTTTCTAGATGTGTTTATATTTATTAGAAAAAAATATATTATTTTCATTTGAGTCGCAGAAAACATTATTGTATAATAAACCACAGAGCAAAACACAAGGCACAAAAAGGACAAGGTGATTTTTCTGTATAAGACGTGGTTAGTTTGGTGAAAGAACAGAGATGTTCTTTCCAAAGATCCATATCTTACTTGGCCATATCCTTCTTTCTGCAGAAGTCTAGTGTAACAAAAAAAAAACTTTATTATGAAGAAAGGGCATAGAATTTATTTTCTCAAAAACATCTTTATCCTTATCTGTATCCAAGGACAAGAAAGGCAGGTGTCCTCAGTGCTAGACGGTTGAAGTGACGATGTTTTTGTGTCTCTAACCAGAAGGTTTCCTTTTGTAATGGCACCATCAAGTGTGTAAAAGTATAACAGCATATGATCATGTGACTAGTTTATATCCATTCGAGAATAGCCCATCCCTCTGAGTGTAACTCCGGTATTGCGGAAGTACAAAAGGTTTTATGGTGGAAGAAATGTTGGATTCATTATTGCACACTTTTTGTATTTCAGCTTTGTACGTACTTCTCTGTCCGAAGATTAGATGTACTATGTATGAAGAGGAAGCAGTGTATGGATCCTACGAGTTTGAGAGTGGCTGTTTATTTAAAGTTATTGACCAAAGGAAAAAAGGAACAACTACAACAAGAGCTGGGCACTGGATTGACACTCATCAACCACTGCTAGGTCAACCACATGGGCCATTTCACCCACAATATCGGTCTGCTTCCCCTTGATCAGGTTCCTCATGCACGTCACATGTGTAGACAGTACTTTAGTTGTGTGGACAGGCACATGTTATGGGTCTGGAAACCTATTACTAAACTAGGGGGAAAATATTAATAAGTTTGTCTTCCAAAGGTTGTTCCCTGACCTTAATTAGTAATGTGAACCAACCGTGATTTGATTTGTGGAGTTCCGAGGTTTGGCATGATGGCCATCGCCATGTTGGTTTTTTTGCAACCAGCAGAAGTGACTGACTACTAACTACTACAAAATAGACTACCAACTACTGCGAGTTGGGCAGCGCTTGGTTTCACCTCATCTGTAGCAGGAAACAATGGCAGCTTGCTTGGTCAAACACTTTCTTGTATTTCAGATAAACAGTACACTAAAATGTTTCTGAAAAGATTTTAAGCAAGAAATAGGCAACCGAATCTTGAATAATAGTTGATCAGCACTGCCTGGTTTGACAATTTTGATCTTTGTTTCGTGTGTTATGCTGGATGCCTGAAACTGAAAATGACAATCCCAAGGCGATTGACTTATTGTCTATTTTACTCTAAACTGGACCATAATTTACTAAATGAATATTGTGCTGTATGGAACACTTATTAAGCGATTGATTGAGACCATAAACCCTTACTGAGGTAATAAATCAATTGAGAAGTAGGGTGATTTTCTATTACATTACATACAACAAAGCTTCTTATTGCTACCAATGGAGCTGCCCCCTGGTGGCCATTAAAAAGAATACATGTTTAAAGTATTTCCGCATTGGCCTCATTTTACAGACCCGGAAGCTCCGTCCGCTATTTATTATACAATCTATGCTGTGTACACACAACAGATCTATTATTGTAATAGCCAGCAGGGGTTTGACCTCTTCTGTATTCCAGCAGGTTGAATTGATAAAAGCTGCCTGTGGGAGGCCTCCCCTATCCTTCACATCTTTAATGTGTGCTAGCAATGAGCTCCTTGGGAATATAACTAATTACTTCACATCTGTATTTATTTGATCCACATGGAATTATCCCTTCTGTCACTGGCAGAATGTGCTGCCAGCCATGGGTAGCAGTGATTCATCTCAGCAACACGTCTGGCACAGTTTAACAACAAAACAGCAGGAAAATCAATAGAAAGAAATGAAGAAGACCATGTCATGTTGCACATTCAATCTAATGCAAAAGGATGTAAAAAGATGGATAGAATGTCTGGATGTAAAAAGACAATATAACAACACCTTAATTTTATTGTAAGAAGTTAATCAAAACAATTTTGAATTTTTAAAGTACTGCAGTTAGATGGAATGAACAGATAATTAAAGCAGCTAATACTGAATTTAATTATTTACTGCGCCAGCTGGAAACCATTAAACGTATTTTCTTTAATTAAGTATAAGTTAATATAGTTCTGGTGTGTTTACTTCCAAATGCACAGATGTTTAATTTCAGAAGTAGTAAAAGGGAATGAAAAATAATATCACTGACAGAGAGTGCAGCTCTTACAAGACAACTGTATAGTAACAATCTCCTCTAGTACCCTCTAGAGGAGAATTCACAAACTACAGATGCTTGGAGCACCTCTACAGTACAATACAATCAATTTCTCTACAGTAAATTCTAAAGATTCTGCAGAAAAGTCAGTCTTTAAAGTTTACACTTGCACTTGAATGTGTTTAAACTTACCTGAAATAATGTACAGCCTCAGGTGTGAGGATAGTAGGAGTATGAGGCCTGAGTTGTCCCGATATCAGCTCTGTCTGCAGCTCTATCACACTTCAGGAGCCTGGTCTAATAGTGCAAGATGTCGTCACCCAGATGTCACAACATTTTCATCAAAAAATGTTTAAAAAAAGACTTCACAAATTACATGTTCACAGTGAAGACATAAAAAGTTATTGTGTGTGTGTATATATATATATATATATATATATATATATATATATGGAGGTGGGGCAGTGAAAAGCTCCTACCTCTTATATCACAGTCTGCTTATTTGGATGTTCTGTAGGAGGACAAACCTTCTTAACTTCCGTCGCTGAGAGTATCCTGTCAAAATAAGGTCACAAAAATGTGCACACAAAGACAGATTCATATCTTGTCTAATTAGCTTTATTCGAGATCTGTAGAACTATCCTCGGATGTCGCACTGCTAGGCTTGTGGGTGGGGTAGTTTAGTCTAATCACACAGTAGTGCAATCTGATGATTAATTTAGCTTAATAATTAGCAGGTGCAATGTCTGTTGTGTGCTGGGAGTCCTATGCACCATGTCCAGCCACCACTGAGCTACATCCAGTGGTACCTCCAGGATTTTACTCAATGTCTGTCTGGATTTCTGCCTGAGAGAGAATCCTCAACTGAATCAAGGTAATTAAATGATTGGATTCATGCTAATTAACAACAATGGGGTTCAACTTTCTAATTATCCTTGCTCACACAGCACTCTCTGTAGCCACCCCAAGTGCAAATAAAGCATTCCATCTGCTAGTAATTAGGCTTAATAATTTTAGACAATCGCTCAATGATTTACAATGCACATGCCTGATTACAGTCTAAATGTGAGTGCCATGGTAAAATTAGAACAAGAATGGATCATAGCTTGCACTTTATGTCTAGTGCAAAAACACAGCAGCTTCTTCCTCTTTTGAGTGTTTTCTCTTTTTTTGCAAAGCAATAAAATAAGACCTTTGTGTCTCTTGCAAATATTCTGCATAATGGCTTTTCATTTGCTTAATCTGCAAATTAAATGGCGATTGAGACTAAATTGTTCAGTTCCCTGGCATGGGGACTGTCATCATCCTGTGAGTGCTTTCCTGCAGAGAGTCATTTGAACCAGACAGAGTGCCTCCACCAGGGCCACAGACTGGGGCAGCAGAGTGGTGAGACAGGGGATGACTGCTGCTAGATCAGATGTGTGTGTATGTGTGTGTGCAGCAGGCAGAGAAAGCTACCTAATGAAGGGATGTGGATAATGGTCCTCTTGGAGGACGGGGTGTGTTTCCAGTTGGCTGCCAGATGCTGGGGATAGAGAAAAGGCGTGATCAGACAGGGGAATGCTTGAGCGTACACACACACACACACACACACACACACACACACACACACACACACACACACACACACACACACACACACACACACACGCACACACACACACACGCACACACACACAAATCATCACATCACTGCATAGCTAGAACACATCAAGCCAATATCTCTCTGGGCTAACAGAAGCAAACCAAGCATAAAATACCACCTTAATTAAATTAAGCGTTTACTTTAGAAACATCTTCTCACAATTAATTCAATCAGCAAGGTACATGATGCTACTGCCAGGGGAAGATTAGCAGGCTTAATTAACAGGGTATGAATGTTTAAAGAGTGAGAACATACATTTAGTGCATGTATACACACAAAACGATGTTAAAACTAAATGAACTTGTAGGCACTAATTAATACTGTGTCAGTGCTTCTAAAGATGTTCAACCCAGATGACAGCACAGACATGACATCTACGCTGAATAGGAAAAGAAAATTACAGAGAATTATGCATCAAGGAAAATTGTGCTGTCATATTGCTCTGTTGAAGAGCTAAATAGAAGCACATTTTTATTTCCTGAGCTTAATATTGTAAGGTTCTGTAGGAAGTTGGTCTTTAAAGCTTGACAAGGGCAGCAAGAAAATCTAGAATTTAATTATGTCGTTAATTTTAATTGCATTAAATTAAATTAGTTTTGCCATGGTTTATACTTTATTATAATAACCCACTCAAACCAATAGCTATGTCCCACTCTACTACAAACCATATTATTTTAAAACTAAATATCATCACAACACATTTTTTAATTTAAATATTTAAATAATCTACAATATTTATTATACATTTAGCTACTTTTACATGTACTGTAACTGATCATTAGAAAGGATTGGTTACCTTTTTTGCCTGTGATCTTTAGCCCTCACAATCTCCATGTGTCTTCTTTTGCTGCCAATGTGGCCGCAGTTTTTTTTGTTCATCTGTCTCACTCTCTCTTTCCGCTGTTCCCCTCTGTTCATCCAACTCCTCTAATCTTTTATGTTTATCTCGCTTCTCTCTGTTGTTCTACTATGTCTCACTGCTCCCCTCTGCTGTTCTGTGTTTCTGTTCATCTCAAACCAGAAGTACTAAAGCAGCACATTTTAATTAAAGTTACATACCATGATTAATGACCCGGCTTTCTTATTGACATGGCAGCGCCCCCATTTCTGTTCTTACTTTTACACTACTTTACTCAGTAGTGGAGACTCTAAAAGGATGTAACTCAAACGCATATTTTGAGTAGCCCACCATAAAATGCTGAATGGTAAACAGAATGTTATAGTAACCAGATGAAATGAAAAAAACTATTTTTTTTTGTCTTGTTTTCTATAGAGTCAACAGCTACATTTAAATAGCAAACATTTGACATTTAAAGACAATGCAGATAATTTAATTTGTATAATGTCTTATTCAATTTAATTTACAAGTCATAAATAAAAGTCTGACTTTTACTGTGAGAAATTGGGAAAAAAGAGAAACAAAGCAATCTTTGAAAACATAAGAGAGCAATATTTAGTAAGAGAGAAGGAGAAACAGAGAGAAAGCACACATTGGATATAAGCAACATCACCTGGGCTCTGCTGCTGTAATTCTCCAGTTGTCTAAAACGCCGGGCCTGCAGGGCCTTCCTGACACAACGCATCTGAGTGTGCAACAACCATGAGATGGTGATGGTCCCTGCCGCCCACTTGTGCCGCCAGTGGCACAAGTAGGCTGTCCGGGCTAAGTAGCGCCTCCAGCAGGGGGAGATGTGGATGACAGCTGCCTCAATGCCTCCTTCTCCCTTGTAGCGCTGAACTGGGCACAAGACCAGGCCCAATACCTCCTCCCAGTTTTCAAGCACTGAGAGGAGGCTGATAACTGGAGGAGCCTTTTTCCAACCATTACCAAAACCATTGCTAAACTCCATGAGCTGTTCCCTGCTCACTTTGGCTAGAGGAACAGCAAAGCTGAGCAGCTTTTCCAGGTCCTCCAGAGCATCTACCACACTGCTTCAGCACAAGTTAAAGCTCTGCTTGAAGTGACAGAAATCTGTCGCCATTGGGTTGATCCGTCCCTTTATGAAAGTAAAGGGGTATTTACAGGTATATTCTACAGGACACAGGGAAACAAGTGAGAGGCAACCAAACTAGACTTTAATAATACAGTTAAAGGAATTGAAATAATGAAATTTAATTTAACTGTTTGAAACTATTAGTTTTCTTACCTAAAGGCTTTTAGAGATAAGACCTTGCATTAAACCTCTGTGGTCCGCGCTCTTAGAGGTTGTGGAGGCACGCAGTGTATTGGTGGTCCACAGGGGTGTGCTTTCTCTGCCTGTTCTTTTGTAGGTGGATCCAAGTTCTGTCTCACATTAAAGCTGCTTGTGCCACCTGGACTTCAGGTGTATCAGACCTAAAGTCACAAACAGTGACTACATTTTGGAGTTACAAAATGGTAACAACACAGAAAAGAAAAATGCATTGAAGCCTACATGGATCAGTCAACAATATAATTTAGAGATAGATATATCAAAATATTTATCCTTAATGTATGAACCAAAAGAAGTTGGGATACTGAATCTGGCAAAATGTATTATCTTCTATAGACATTGTGTGAGATATGGCTTTTAATTAATAGTGACAGCTGAGGAGTGACATGAAAGGAGGCTGAGATGACATGTAGCAAAAGGCCACAGGTCAGAGCCAAACCCATGGCCGCTGCTGGACGCCAGCTCTACCTGGTGAGCTATGTGTGAGCCCCAAAGCCAATAATCGGTCTATTTCTATTTAGGAGAGCCACAAAAAAACTGGCACTGGCAAAATTGTAAACTGTCCTGTAACCGTCTCCTGCAGTAATTAATCACAAAGATTAAAGATTAATCATAAAATACTATAACTCAGAGCAATTCAATTCTGCTAATTTTTTTCATTACACACTATCATAATTAAATTAAAAGTAGATTCAATGGCCTATAAACAGATTCAAATGTCTCATTACTCAGAAAACACAAAGTTTGTGCTGCTGATCCTCCAGACTTGTCACCTAATGTCCTCTCCTTCGTTCTCCTCAGACCACTGAGCTCTCTGACAGACCACAGGTAGTAGCCAGGTGCTGGGAGATTCTCCCCTCAAAGGCACACATCTGTTTCAGATGGGGTTGGGAAAAGGTGGCACCTTTTGTAAAATTGCTAAAATGCAAAAGCTCATTCGCTGGCATGGGTACGGAGTGGAGAAGAGCTGGCCTGAGTTGCAGGAGGAGGCAGCAGGCAGAGAGCCAGTGGTTAGCAGTTGGGGAAGCTACGGCTGTCTTATTGGCATGCTGGACCAGGTACCCACTTCTGTCCTGAGACAGCTGTAAACCACTAGCCCATAGCACAGCAATCAGGCGCTTGTTTCTTTAGAAGAATGCTGATGTGCTGCAATCTGCTGCTTTCCGCTTTCTGCAGCCAGCACTTCCATCTCTCCTATATCAGAGTGACAGTCTTGGCCGCTATTTCTCATGTCAGGTATAGATTCCCAAAAACATATTGGAAAATAAAGTGTGTGAAATATATCTAAAACTAATGCCGACCTTTGCAAAGATTAATTTGTTTGCTGTGATAAGTACTGGCTGTCATCACTAAGCCAAGTGACCTTTATGTCACTGTCTCTCTGAGCATGAGACTTGAAGGATCTATTAATGCAGACCTGTACCATCACTCTTCACTCCAGCATAAAGTGTCTATTCTGGGGATTAAGGGAGTATCGGGACAAGGAGCAATGATATCCATTTCATCTTAGTTGTAGCAGAAACTCTTGTAATGCTTCCTAATCAAATTCTTCCTGAGGCTTGTGCTGTATGTTACAATTAATATCAACAAAGACTCAGGACACAGGAATTCATTTCTCACTGCAAGAAGCAAATAACTCGAGGACATGATACTATTCTGATTATTGTTTGTTATTATAGTTGATTATAGTCTTTTTCTAGCAGTAAGACTTTTGTGTGATGAGAAAATCTGCTACTTAACTAAGAAAGACAAAATACCAGATGTAACCTGATTTTCGCAAGTTCTCCTGGGTGTTCACTTTTACAAAGCCACACCTGAATGAACTGTCAGCCACTCCATGATTGTCATGTAGACAACTCAATCTGACAACAAATTGTAGAACATAATTATGGGAGAAAAAAACAACTATCACTTCTATTCCATAAATAAATAGCACAGAAGGCTTAAGGACAGACCTGAGTCAAGTAACGTTTACAAGGTCATAGTGTTTACATTAAACCCCCCTAGAGTACCACAGTACATCACAGTAAGGTACCGTGATTTATATATATTTCTTATGAAAATCACAGTATGCTTTTAACATTATGTCTAGCATCAATACTTCTAACAATATTACCATGATACTGTTGTCCCAAACCCCATATTGTTTTGAAAGTACTGAGACAAACCTCTCTGCAAAGTGCAGTTTCTATGCAAACGCATGCAAACATTTAGTAATCTACATTTATTGCCAGATTACACCTAGTCTAGTCCTGCCTGTTTAAATTTGTAATACAATATAGTCTAACTGGCCTACCTACAGTATACATTATTTTACCCTATATTACTTTGTCACTAAAAAGTACTATTCATTTCTGAACATAAATATGAATCTATTGTTTCCCCTTTGTGGACACACATCTAGGAAACTGGTAGGTTTCCTGTGTAATGTCTCTTTTATGTTCACAATACCAATCACCTGAGTTTATGCAGTTCTAAACATATTTGTTCAAAGTTCTAACAGTGAGAGAGTAAAGGAAAATATAATCTTCTGCATCTATTTACAATTAAAGAACATATTAGTTAACTGTCAGCTACATTTGTATGAAATATATTTTATATTATCTGTGTTAATTCTGCTTGAAGCATCCTCCTCACCTTGACACTACTCTCTGTACGTTACTTAAACACTGGTTTCGCCTGGGGGAATGATGTTCTTATCCCGGACAGATAAGTTAACACCGGCCGATCATGAGTGCCAAGGCCACACCATAGAGTGTAAGAGGGACTAATGTGCGGCTACCAGCAATAATTTAATTTTTTTAGTTAGTATTACATATAGTATAGTATTGCATATTGATAGTTTATTCTGTCTGGAGGCTTACAAAAAAAGAGAAATGTTACATTTAACGTTAGTTATTGTCTGCACTGTGCTCATAATTTACTTAGATAATGATTATAATTAATTTGTTGTAAATATTGTTTTCCTTTATTGTTACTATTATTATTTTTAATAACAAACGCTTGCTTTGGCAATATGTACAGTGTTACGTCATGCTAATCTAAAAAGCTAATTTATCTAACGTTAGCAAAAGCCAAATAGATTAACGTTAGTTAACTAGCGGACGTTAGCTTTATAAATTCTCTCTCAAGAAATAAATTGCTCCCAACTTGTCTTCGTTTTTTAAGCATTGGGTATAATAATATGACTCAAACATAATGTCACAATATAATGAGTGTTAACGTTATATCAGCTAACGTAGAAACTGTTATCAAACCACTTAACGGTAGCTAGGTAACGTTAGTTCTAAATCTAACAACTTGTAACCATGACAACAAGATGCCATAAAAAGAGCCTTGTATATGTGTGTCTCTTTGCCCCGCGTACGAACTGTCAGACAGTTGACTCTCGTCTGCCTGCGTGAAAAACAACAACTTTAGTTACGATTGGCAGATTCAATTCCAACTATGAGCCTGCTTTACTTTAACCGGTAACGTAAACATACATTATTAATTTATTATTAAACTTTTGGCGGCGGTGTAGGGCATTCCCTTTTTCAAAATCCAGTAAAACGCATCAGTTACAAGAAGCTCATTTAATGTTAAATATCACCTTTAACATATAAGTTATATTATGAGAATAAATTATACAATAGTAACGCATATAAATCCGTTATTTAAAGAAAGTTGTGAGCGCTGTTTCAGTTACGTTGCACCGGAAGAGACCCTCGCAGCCGCTCAGTCAGAGTTCAAAGGTTATCAAAGTTGGTTAACGTAACGTTAAGCTAACTCAGCAGCTGGAGAAGCTAGTCTCAAACATTATAAAAATGTCAACTTCCGAAGAAGACACAGAGGTTGCTATTCCGTGTGTGCTCATCACAAGCTGCGACAGTGGTTTTAAAGAAGAAGAGCTGATTAAACGTAAGTTTAGCAAAGCTTACGTGCATGATTTGGCTAACAGGCTAACGTTAAAGAAAGCTAACTTACTCTTAGCATTAACACTTGGAAGCGCCTGTATGATGCTAATACAGGTTGATAACCCGTTTGTCTCAGACTAACAAGCCAGCAAAGAGTTTATTTTTTTGTGGGGCTGTTATAAAAACATCAATGGTCAGGCTGAAGGGGGTTACTTACATATTATTCCTACAGGTAGGCGGCGACTGCAGTGAAAGCAAGCTGAGCAACTTAGCCTAACGTACTGTCTCTGTTTGTGTGTGCGATTTATGTCAAATGTGTTTTTGCCTCAGAGATCCTCAGCCCGACGACTTTGCCCGAGCCGATCAAGAGAGAAGAATCAGTAGCCTGGTATCCGTGGACCATCAATAACAAATACTATACAGCAGACGTCAGGCTATGTGTTGTACCAAGTACTTTTCAAATGTCATCGGAGATTGCCCAGGCCATGCAGGCTTTCATCGCTTATTTTGACAGTACAGTGGTACGTGACTTAATTCTAGTTAGAAAATCTCGACAGTGGGTCCTGTGATACATGTTTAACGTTTATTATGTGTGCATGGTGTTGACAGAAGGATGGTTTGGAAAAGCTGCATCCTTGGATATCAGTGGTGGAAGATCTTGCTCCAGAGGTGCTGATTCTGGTGTGTGACAGAGTGTGTGAAAATGGTTAGTTCTCCAGCTCTGTATGAAAGCAGAAAAATACCCAAACACAATTTTACAGCGTACCATATGGCATCTGAAATTTAATTTGCTTTCTAGGGGTCACCAGGCACGAAGCACAACAGTGGTGTTTGGCTCATGCCTTTGAGCTGGTGGAGCTCAATCCACAGGAGTTGCCAGATGAGGATGGTGAGATTTACAGAAATGCACACATTTATATTTTTATTTTCCACATTTAGCTGATTGTTGAACTCTCATTTGCACTGTATTCGTTGCCTTTATTAGATGACTTTCCAGAATCTACAGGAGTAAAGCGAATTGTCCAGGCTCTCAATGCCAATGTGTGGTCCAGTGTGGAGATGAAGGATGGTGAGCTGACACCAATACAGCTGACCTATTGCACTTTCTCCTGACTGTTTAATTCACCTCTGTCTGTGAATGGTATGTGATTGGTTATATCTCTGATAGGGCACAATCAGGGCTTTGGTCTGATGAGTAGTTTGGTGGCCTCCAGACACAACAACCCACACCCACACAACTGTCAAGATCCTCCAGTAAGTGGCATTTTTGTGTAACCATTTTCTTTTACATGTATAATTGTTTTCTGTATATCAGTCTATTTTTATTTAAATGGGATTTTAAATCTGTCAGGAGGAGGCATGCTAACCCTAGCAACTTTTCTCTGTCAGTCTTCCAGCTTGCCAGTAGAGGGCTCACTTGTTAGTGAGGAGGCCAACCATACAGAAAGTAGTACAAACACAGATGCACAAGGGGACACAGTAGTTGGTAAGTGAACAACTCCTGATAAAATCTGTTCAGGACTGATTTTGATCTTGCTGATACATTTTCTGCAGTATGTTCACTCAAAACATGGACATCTTGATGATAGAAGATGATATGGAATTACATGTAAAGTTATTAATATCATGTGGATTTTTTCAGATGCAATGACGGATTTGGACATACAGGAACTTGCTAATCTCACGGCTGGAGATGCAGATGTGGATAACTTTGAACGTCTTTTTACCAAATTAAAAGAGATGAAAGGTAAATGAGAGAGGAAAAGCAAAAGCCCATCTTTGTCTGCATAAACAGCTTATGTTGGCCCTTTTTTAAAACATACAGGCTTTTTTGGTGTGTTTAAACCTTGCTCTGATTGTTTGTTTCAACCTGCAGACAAAGCTTCTTCATTACCTCATGAGCAGAGAAAGGTTCATGCAGAGAAGGTAAGCATCTGCATTCACCCCTGATTATAAGACACCAAGACTTTGACTTTGTTCGTGTTCATATTCAGTGTGTCCTGGTTATATAAAAAAGGAATCATCCCCCAAGAGATAGTTTTGAACAGTCTAATAGTATCTTCACAATCTCACACCATTTTCAAACTAGCCAGCTATGTTTCAGTGTGAACCCTCAACTAGCTCAATGAGTTGTCTTGGTGAACATGTTTATGTAAACCCCAATCTCGAGTATTTACACAAAATTTTCTTTCTAGGTAGCAAAAGCGTTTTGGATGGCCATCGGTGGCGATGACGACGAGATAGACGGCTTATCGTCGGGTGAGGAAAGCTAAAAATGGTTACATATGAATCAGTCTCTTTAACCCTGATCCTCCTCCTTTCCTGGGGCTCCCACAAGATCCAGCGCCCTTTGACTTGCTTCTTGCACCTGGAAAGTGGAGATGCTTACAGATGGTACTGTAGGCATAGTCATGTTTAGAAACTTTTGATTCTTAAAATGAAATGAACACAATACTGGTGTATAGTGAGAATCAGTTGGATATCTTGTTTGGCGAGAGAAGAGAGCCAAAGGATGGCCCTGACCCTTCTCCCCTGGGTCCCTCGCTATGCTTAAGCCCTGAGTGTACCTCAACAAATAATGGCGATGCAGGTGGAAAACAAAATAAAATTATGTGGTCTTTGATAATGTATATGTCCTGTAGGTACAGTTGTCACATATATTTGCAAGTGACATAATGTGCCTTTTCCTTAGAATTGTAAGACATTTGATTTACCTTCTGTCGAATCAACATAAAGACTTGTGATTTTAAATGTTTTGCTTTTCAGTGTGGCCTTTTTACTGTTAACACAAGACTGTTGCACTACATGGTTACAGCTTGTCTCATTCCTGTGAAGAAAAATAGGAACATCTGTGTGCTGCAGTGGAGTACCTCTCCAATAAATAAAACATTCAGTCGAGGTGCATTATTGGACAGCATTCACCTCTAACAGTTTCACAATGGTAGTGTATTCATATACAGTGGTTTCTATTTTTCTAGTTACAGTGTATTAACAAGCCATGGTTTAAAAAAAAAACAAAAAACATTGACATACAATTTATTTTACTCAGTTGCAATTTATTAAATTTTCACAGATAACAAAACAATGGTCATTGAGAACAAATATTAGGCTACATGAAAAACCATGTACATAAGACTTGGAAGAGAAAACCACCAACTAAGAATATCGAGGAACACAAGTACTGATACAGATCTACCAACTACCTAACGCACTTTAGTACACAGTATTTCAGTTTAACACCATGTAACTGGATTACTTGGTGCCTCAGTCTCATGTACTGTAAGTAAGTGCAGGATAAACATGGTGGCTTCATAGATGACCAAGGACAGCGAGCATATTACACATGCCATATATTGCAGCAATGTACATGTAATATACAGTATTTACTGGACAAGCAAACTACCACTAGAACTAAAGCTTTACACTGATCAACACATTAAGTTGGAAGTGCATCATTTACCCACAAGGAGTATAATGTACTATTGGCTAACAGTTGGTAAGATGTGAAAAGACCTGCATTTATGTTTTCACTCTACATGCCATCAATGGATAAACCACAGCCAAGGTTGCTGCTAGTGACTACGCTTCACACTGAAGTCACACTGTGCCTAAATTCAACCAGTCCACTAAGATCACTCATACTGTAGGTCATACTCTACGTCCCTATTATGAAATACCAGTATTCCTATGTGTCACACTGAAGAACCAGTTGACCCGGGTTAGAAAAGTCTGCATTTAAGTTTGGGTCAATTAAAGCAAAGTCCTTGTGTGAATCTACTCATGCCAGGGGTCAGTCAGGTCCACTGTTTGAAGCAATTCATGACTACAAGAAATCACAAGCTATAAATATTTATGTACAATCATATTGAGGCATTAAAAAAAATATATTCCCATGCAAGACAGTATGCAAAAATAACTTATAAAATGTCTCTTTCACTGAGCAAAATAGTTTTCATACAAGGGTTCTTCTCAAGAAACAATGGTGCTAATGTCTATATTTTCTTTAAAATAGATAAAATACCAATTACATGATTTATCAGATAACTGACACTCATTAATATAGATCAATCAATATGGGCAAAGTACCTTGTACTTAATATTCATTAAATATATTCTATTTAATCACTATTCAAAGTTAAAATTTTCATGTTATTTATGGTTCAATTAATAAATAAGCTTCCCAATTCAGCGATTACAAAGAGTGGTACTGGGACACTGAAACACCAGTGATGATAGCGTATTCATAATTTTTGGTAATTCATAGAATCAAAAATGTTTTGAAACATGTAAAAGGTGACCATAATGAAACTGTACCACAACTTCAATGTAGGAGACAAACAAAGTCAATCTCCTTTTTACAAAAAAAATTGTTACAACACTTAGCATATACATGACGTCCGAGTGAATAATGAAAATGTGGTTAGTCTTTTGAACCCTATTGTATTGCAAATACCCTGTGGCTGCCCGTTGAACACATGAAAACAAAACAATGTACAAGTCCTAAAATAACCGTCAAATGTAGACACTAAATGGTACTAAGGAAAGTGCTATATAATATATGTGAGGTGAAATGTAAGACTGCGAGGAAGGAGGGTGATTTGTTCATTTAATGAATGAATGTCTTTCATTGTTATCACTGAGGGACTCTTGAGTTTTCCTATGTGGTTTGTGTATAAGTGTGTGGATGGGGAAGAAGGGTCTCTGGGAAGCATGTGCTGCTCCTATGACACACTGGAGCAGTGGATGCTGGGAGAGCCCATCTGTGTGAGGACCTTGTCCAGCCACTGCAAAGGGCCATTGAGATGCAGCTCTATCCAGCAGGGGGTGCTGGTCACTGTCTGACGTCTGCAGTGTACAGAGAAGGACATAGTTTGATATTAGTGATAGCTTTTTACACTACATCATAGTATTGTCATTTAAAATCACAGAGACACGTCATTGTTAGTGAAACTTCATTACAGTCAATTCAAAGATACAGTCAACTCAGTATTGCCTGTCTTGAATTAGCACCAACACTGACGCCAACTGTACGGGCTATTTCTGAAGTCATTCAAGTTTCTGTCAGATGTTTTTCTCTAAGATGTTCGGTGCCAGAAATTTAACACGCGCCACTCAAAGACTAGTGGGAATCCCCCTTGCAAAGGGTGACTGAAATGTGTTCACCTCCCACTCCATGTCCCCCGCATTCTTCCTCTGTTACTCAACCCTCTCTTGCCGACTCACAGCTGCACCCTCCCCCCCATCACCCTCTTTTTCCTTTCCAAGTCTGCTACCTTCTGTACAAAACACCCCTTCATTTTTTCAACCCAAAAACATCATTCAATTATCCTGACCATAAACATGACGTCCCTCTAGCATTTTCTTCTTAGATTTGGGGCAAACAGCAGACTCAAGGAAAAACAAGAATAGTGATGACTAACCCTTAAAACCACATAAATACATTTAGAACTTTCTTTTTACTGCTCACTTTACACAGGCTTGGGTAAAGATAACCTGTGTGTTAGAGGCAGGTACTTTATTCAACTTTGGAAAGAAATGGCTAGTTGAACACTTAACTATGGATGGGTTTTTTACACAAAAAACAAGAAGTGAGAAGGAAAAGGTACACAGAGTGTCTGGTCTTGGCTGTAAATGGCATTATGTGCTGTTCTGTCTGCAGAATGATGTTCTACCAAGAAAGGAGCCCCGAGCAGAGAAGGGCAGGTTCATAGTGGGCCCAGTTCAGACCCCATAATTTCTCAGACCTGACAGCCTCCCTCAACATCCACTCTGTCATATCCAAGTACATAACATCATATGAGAGAATAAAGGAAAATAATCAATGTGACAAAAAGAGGCCATAGTTCACTTGTTGAATCAGTTAAATGTTACTTTTCAAGTTTTTTGGCCTCTGTTTAAAGTCTAGACTCTGCCAGTTAAATTCTATATGTTGGTATTTTTGGCGGAATCTCAAGCACTAAATTATAAAGAAATAATTTTACTTTTAACTGAACTGTGAAATGCTGCTGCTTTTATTATACTGGAAATGCCCTCACTGGACATTACCTCCATTTGAATCAAATATGGCATCTTTTACCAAACAGCATATTATACATTTGTCTGACCAACATATACCAGCACTTGAATTATTTGATTTTTATGACTTCTCCAATGTCTTATACCCTTTTGTTGTACATGCATACATATTCAGTAAATAACACATAAATGTCCAGAAAAAACATTACGCATTCATACAATCGTATTAAGCATCTTACCTGTACTCAGCTCCCCAACCCTTGACAAAACTCATGCGAATGGTACACATTCTGGTGAGTTGGTAGACCGCCTCAAAGCCCTGGTTGACTGACTGGGCCAGCAGAGCAGCAAACTCTTGGTTGTTGAAGATCTTCAAGTTGCAGCCTGCAAAATAAAGATTTGTTATCAGGCTTACTAGTGCTGAGATGTCAGTGTCAATGGGTTATTAGAACACAGTAATGCTCTGGTTATTTTGCCTCATGGCTTTCTGTGTTTGTGTGTATCCTCTCATGCTGACCTGGCGGTATTTTGCAGACAGTGGCAGGATGCCAGCCATAGCGCTGGTTGCAGTTGGGACTCTGGACAAAGATGGCACTGTCGCTGAGACACTCTGCAAACACCTCGCCCCCAATGTAGTACAACCTCACGCCCCGTCCTGGAAAGGGAAGAGAGAAGATTTGCGCTCAACTCACAGCTACCTGCTGACTATGTCAAGCACACATATAAAAGGCAACTTAGATGAGAGCTTATGTGGTCCCTATTAAATAAAATGAGTACCTATGTGTCTGCGTGTGAGCTCTACTGCTGAGTTGCGGTTAACGTTGGACAGCAAGCCCAGACAGAAGCGTTCAGAGTTGGAGGGGTCTGTGAATCCGTCTACTGTGAGGGAGGGCTGGGAGGCATGGAAGGTCTCTCCTACACGTTGGTTCAGCTCATAGTAGGAGATGGAGCACCAGAAGGCGGACTCACAGTACGTCACAGGTTGTAAGTCTGTTGGGGGTTAGATGGAGAGACATTAACAGCAAAACAAGCTTCAGTTAGGTCCGTGAAAAAAGAATTAAGAAGTTCCTGAGAACAGGTGACCTGCTTTGTAGTCGAACAACCATTTGATTGTGAAGATGCACACTACTGATAAAGTTTCCCTTTGATTTCTCTTTAAGAGCTCTTTCCCACGACCCTCATGGCCCCAGCCAGGAATGGCCAAGACATGACGTACTTATTTATTTTTTTTTAACAATGACCTCCTGGTGGCTTTCCACATAGATTGAATAACCTGGCAACCGGATATTATTATTATTGCATTACCTTGAGGTTTCTGTCGCTGGCTTTTCCACAGATGAGGACAGACCATAGACAAAGACTCCATTCATACCATATTTACTCTGTTACTGCCCTGAGGCTATGCCTCCCAGACGTTGTCCACTACCCCTGTATTGCTCATCTGTCTGTCTGTCTCGCACGCACACGCGCACACACACACACACACACACACACACACACACACACACACACACACACACACACACACACACACAAATATATTCTAATATGCTAGTCTGTGGACTTCTATGTACAGCATCATCACTACGACGTTGGCTATTTTTGGTTTACTGAGTTGTTTTGACTTGTTGTGACTATGGTACAATCCTCAGGTAGGGATGGGTCCATTGTTGCGGGATGATTCAGAATGAATCGTCTCTACAGCTGGTCCTACATGTATGCTCTTACTAGTAACA